ACCCTAAATTTACATATCTCAGTTGATTGAATACGCAAGATCATTCTCTACGTATGAACAATTTCTAGAACAAAATTAAATTTTTGACAAAAGGTTGATGAAAAAAGATTTTCAGCAGGCTTCTGTAAAGTCATATTTTCGTAAGTTTTAAGTTCGATACAATAACCTTGTCAGCAAATACAAGTTATCATTGAGTCAAATCCTGACTGAAGTATTTCATACTAATTGTAAGTCCATTATATATGCACCGAATTGATGACGATTTTTCCCGTTATATTCTTATCATGACAAAGAGCACACGGCGGCTGTGACCGGTCGGTAGGGGATGCTCACTTCTCGATGGCACCTGATCCTACCTCTACTGTACTGGAGGTCCGTGTTTGCTCTGCTCTTATTTTGTATATTTGTTTAATGGACGTTGAGTTTGAATACTGTTCGTTATTACCATATCCTTCTTCATACGTAGAGCATGTTTTGTACAGTTTTATGGTTTTTTTTATTTGGAATACATTAGGATATTACATCAAACTAAAACTGTATTTGGAGAAACATTTTAGAGCATTTCACAGAAATTTCTATTTTTAGTAACCATTCATCGAAACACCATCCATCAAAATAAAAAAAAAAGATAAACAGAATAATCTTTCTTAGTTTAGTCTACTTGTGTGCAAGTTATACTGAAAGCAGATCAAAACTGTAGAACGAGTTGCATTTTAAACGTATTTCACAGAAATTTCTATTTTCAGTTACAGCGGCAACACTGTTCATCGAAATCAAAAACCGATATACAGAATAATGTATTTTGGTGTAGTCTAATACCCAAATCATATTGAAAACATACCCATATTGTAGGAGAAATAGCATTATGAAATTATTTCTCGGTTATTTCTATATTAATAAACACGGCAACACCGTTCATCGGAATTTAAAAGATACAGAGTTTTGTATCTTCGTGTTTTCCTCTCGTCAGCAAGTTGTATTGAAATCAGACAAAAAATAAAAGAGGAGAAGAATTTGGAAAAATCGTTTACAGATAGACTGATATTTACACAGACAGACGGACGAACGGAGGACAGATACATTACTATTGCAAAAACTCTGCTTGTTTCTGACCGGAGAACTAAACATTTGCAAAGACTGGATCACTGATTCTATTGGAATAAATATGGTTTATTTTTTTTTCATAAAAAGTTCGAGGACGATGTCAATCTTCGTTATATTACTCATTAGGACTTAAAATAAACACAATATAATATGTAAAAATATTTCTTTTGTTGGTGTCTGAAGTTCCATTTCATTCAATTTAAGAACCCTCTCTACACTGCACACTAAAGAGTTCTGATTCTAAGGTATTTTTCTGCAGTTAGAGTTATCTGCCTTAAAATCTAAATTCTAAAGAAAAGAAATTACAATATATATCTCAATTTGTGATTAATTAAAGTATTCTTAACATTTCAAAGACCAAGATAAGTTAATAGAACGTGTTACGTTCATGTATTTTCTCTACTGAAGTAATTAACAGTGATTTTATTCACTGATACTGTCGTGTCTTTGAACATTTTTCCTGGGGGCAAATGCCACGCATCATATAGTGAACATTAAATAAATGAGCTCATTATTAACTCCTTCATACAATACATTTTTTTCAATGTCCAAGATATATTTGCACTTGTGTAGAGAGAGTCCTTAACTGAAATCAATATACGTCATTTTAAAATCAACATGTTTTGTACCAGAGTTGCACAGTTAATGGCAATGTAACGTAAAATAGCGTCAAGAATTTCTTTAAAAAATACTATCCCAATACATTTCACACAGGATAATCCAATGCCCACTCATTTTATCATTTATGCTTTAAGAATTGCTCTATAATTGTATAATTTACTGTGTTAAGGTTTCAATTTTTTTAATTACTTAACATTGTTTTCACAGGATAAGCAACCCTGAAGCGCTTATATCTTTCATTGACAATGTTGACGTTCCAACATTTTAAAATGTTTGTTTATATTTCTACAATTAAATCGTTTCTTTACAGATTGTCCTCCTCATCAAATATATGTACAATGTCTCTGTCACTCAATATTACTACCTGTACTACTTGAACACAAATGCACAGCTCGCTTGTGACATTTTGTTTATTCCTCCAACATTTGTAGAGGTTTAATTTTAGAGGGCATACTATATCTAAATAAAATTTAATGTTCTTTGGACTGATTTTATCCTTTCGTTTCTGCATATTATTTCTAATAATGTCCTTTAAATCCACCTACAATGAAAAGCACATAGTTATCAAAATTTCAAATAGTTTTCTTCATATTCTCATGATTATCTAAAAGAAATTCTAACATAATTTGAGGTCCAATCCTAACCTTGCAGGAACAAAATAATTCAATTAAACAATCAGCGATATTCCTTAGATCGTCTATTTTTTATGTAGCATATGTGATTTAGAAACTAAAATAAAAAGAAAAATGACTTCAATAAAATCAAATCAATATTTTTGACTGTCATAAATTTATTAAAATCCATTTTATACGTCATATTAACCAGAGTAGCCCCTACATCAGGACAGCCAAGGGCCATCAAAGTGTCAGGTATTCAGTATGTCAATATTCACCTCTGATATTTATTACCTCTAACCACCTCTGTAAATCACTTCTAACCAGAAAGTAAATAAGAGGCTATGTTTTAAAACTATTGACTGGTACATCTCTCTCTCTCTCTGACAAACTAAAGGCTGTTGGACAAGGGCATGCTTATATTTCATTATAGATATTGTAAGTATTACATAATAAATGTTAGAGTCTTTTTTTCTCTTTTTACCATGCATGAACAATGGATTAAATTAAATTTATTTATATAATACTTATATACCTACATGTTCATTTACTAAGGGACTGGGAAACATTAATAGACTGTTAAATCCAGCTTCGTTATACAAAAAATATTTGATAAATCAAATAAAACAAGCTAAGAATTCTTTCCTTTTAAATTCTTGACCAGTAATACATTTTAAGCATATATCTAACATTACGTTTTTTTTTCATATAAATGTCAGATCAGATATGTTTGCTACTAGATGTTTGACAATTAAACTTAGAACACTTTTTAATACTAATCAATCTATTTTACTTTATAAGTCACATTTTCTGAAATGCCCATTACCAGGGTATGCCCATTTTCGTCCAATTGAGTATATTTAAACTTTGTTATTTTCAGACGGCTTTATCTAAAACTGGTTTTCCTCCCAGAGCCCAACACTTTTTAGAGTGTGGCACTGAAGAATGTGAAAGTAACTGTGAGTTTTACTGCAATCCTTGTCATCAAAGATTCTGTAAACAATGCAGAGATGAACATCTGAAAAGTCCAGAAAATAAGAACCATGAGATGGTCCTTTACCAGCTGCGTAAACGAAAACTTCCCGTGAGGAAATCCAAGATCCACCCCATTAAAGATATAGACATGTTTTGTAATGAATGCCAGGTTCCATTATGTTCTAAATGTGCTATAAATGAAAACCATTATAGACATACGTTTATTGATCTAGAAACAATTTATGCAGAAAAGTCTGTGTTTTGCCAAAAAGAAATCTCAAAAATCCATGAGTATTTTCTCCCCATATCACAAGATTTTCTGAAGGAAATTAAACAAGATGCAGTTGAAATCAAACACATCATGGAAAATATCAGAACATCGATGAAGACGGAAGGTGAGTCCTTGAAAAGTCTGGTAGACACAGTCATATCTGAGAACATGAAGCAGCTAGACCAGATAGAGCAATCTCTTTTAGAAAATCTAAATACCCAAGACAAGACCATGGATGACTACATCGCTTATCTTAATAACCTTCTAAAAGAGCTCCACAGATATCTGTCTTCTACAGAACCTCAGAAATTAATATCTGAGAAGCCAAAGATCCCATCCATACCAGAGACAACAAAACCAGTCACATCAAGATTTACTGCTGGGCAATACAGCAAAGATGATATCACTTAATTACTTGGTAAAATACATTTACCCTACACTAAGGCTGAAAAGAGAGAAATAAGGCCCATTAAAAGTGTTTACAATACACCAATAAAATCTACACATAAACAGTTTAAAGAGGACAGAAAGAAATCTGACAAAGAACAAACATTGTATCTATCTTCCTCTGTCACCAAGGTCAGGGAGTTCAATGTACCAGATGTTGATCATGTATACCATGCATCACTAGATCAGACAGACAGACTCTGGATCAGTGACAATAAGGGTAATCTTATTCAAATAGATCTACAGGGAAATTAGATTAAAAAAATAATAACCAATAGTGGAGTGCAAGGTTATCACACATTGATACAGGACGGGGATCTAATCTTTACAGATAGAAAGTTGAAAGTCATCAATAGGATATCACAGGACAATAATATCACTGAATTCATTGAAACTGGAGACTGGGAACCACTCAGCATACACTCCTTCCCACATCAACGGAAACTTACTGGTGGGGATGGCTGGTAAAGTCGTCAGGTACAACAAAACAGGAAAAGAACTACAGAACATACAGAGGGATAACAAAGGACAGGGACTGTATATTTCACCATACTACATCACAGAAAACAACAATGGGATATCTGTACATCGGACTACTATAATGGAGTAGTGGTGGTGAGTAAATCAGGACAACACAGGTTCTCCTACACAGGTCAGAAGTCAGGGTTCTATCCCTATGGAATCTGTACTGATGTTCTCGGTCACTGGTACAATGGCAATTAATTCATAATTTCCATTTATTACAATATTTTTTTCCATCAGCTTTTACACTTCGTTTAGTCTTGAATAATAACATAAACATGGAGATGTTTGCATGAAGCAATTTGTGCCAAAGGATGAGGTGACTTGCGGCCCCTCGTATACTGACAAAAAATTAAATGTCTAAATTGTACTCAAATTTTTGTATGTAACTAATCACTGATATGTGTACTATTATAGAATACTATTTTAACAAAAATAGAAACGTGATTTAAAAGGTATAGGTCTTTTATTGGGGTAGGGGTATCATGATTACATTCAATTCCCATTGCATTTTAACCCCGCCCCACTCTTTGAAGCCCTTAAAATATATGAGCGCAGATAGGTACAATTTTCTCCTTTGACTGATCACTGTATTTTATTGAAATCTATCTATATGTGAAAGGAGAAAAGTGTACCTAATTGCGCTCACATGCTATTTTTAAAAAAATTGTAAAATATAGTTGGCCTTTCCCATTATAAACAGATCGACGGAACTAGATTTTCTAACGTAAGAATGAATTCCTATGCTAATCGAGGCATGGGCGATACTTTCTAATTGACCAATCAGCTAAATGAAATTCGTTACGAGTGAGTACCACAAAAATACTATGGCAACATGCTTGGAATTTTACTGCTTTCCGATATCTTTTTATGCATTTGAGTCACAGATTAGACACGGATCTCTATATGTACCATTTCCTAGACCACAATTAAATTTATATTCAGTTACAAGCAGTTGATAGAATATATATGATATACATTAGTTTAAAGTTTTGTAGCGTGTTTGGTGAGCATTTCGCTAGTTCTACACGTATTTCCGAGTATAGGTGAACACAATTTTCATGTGCATTTCTTGCCTTAAAAACCGTAAATGCTGAAAATTCATGCGTATTATTCAGTATAAATAGCATTGGCTGACCATTATAAAAGTTTGAATGTAGAAAAGGATAACAGGTAAATAGACCTAATTCACGTGTCTGTGATAAAATGTAAGCGTAGTAAACCAGCATGTTTTGTTATTCTGTCATCGGATTGGTCAATGAAAAAATGCGAAATGATAACAATAGCCATATCAGGTCTTCTCGGACACGCATATCCCACTATTGTACTAAGCCCCGCCTATCTCTTTCCATAAAAGAAAATATTCGCACAAACCTGGCCGAATTTAGCTGTGATAGGGTCTAAAAAATCAAAGATAATGCAGTATTCCTTATAATTAAAATGTGCCTGAACTATTGAAACTATTCAAAAGGCGTCGTATTTATTCACTCATGTTCGAAAACTACCAACATCGTTGTAGATTAAATATAATTCGTTGTGGAAAAAGGGGCTCCAGATAGCAGTTATGTCACATCATCCTTTGAAATTAAAGAAGAATTTACACTAATGCTCTGTTCACACGGAGAGTTTAGTTCGAATTAAACGCACTGCAAATTAGCTTCGCTTACGTTCACACGGAAAATTTAATGCAAATCAGTTAAATTCGAATTAGTTTACTGCGCATTAAATTACTTTGCATTAGCTCCGTGTAAACGCTAAGCAAAGCTAATTCGAATTGAATTCTGAGACATGCTTAATGACAAAATTTAGTCAAATACCACTTGTCGATGGTCAGCTATAGGTACTTGTGCTATTTTTGAGTGAAAAACTAAGGAAAATGTTGTTTATCATTAAAATATGTGTACAGACACTGTGACATTATGTCAAATGGATCTGCTTCTGCAGAAGGTGACGTGATTTGCAAATGATGTCACTATAGCCGTGAAATAATAGTAAATAACAGTGATTTCTATTCACTGATACTGTGTTGTCTTTGAACATTTTTCCAGAGGGTAAATGCCACATACCATATAGTGAAAATTGAATAAATATGCACAATATTAACTCCTTTACACACAATATTTTTCTCGATGTCCAAAAAAAAAATTTTGCACCTGTATAGAGAGGGTCCTTAAACTGATGAACTGTGACTGGGAATTTCAAATGGGGCAAAATTGTTAGCAAATATAAACATGATAAAAGGGTGAAAATAACATGGAGCAAAAATAACCCTGTGTACAGTATTAAGATATGCATACCTTCTTTGTGACAATGTATGAGATAATTCCACCATTGTTTGTGATGGTTTTCCTGACTTCCTGTTTCTTCTTGAAACCAACACTGGTGCTGAGGTCAAGGACAACCTGGCAACCAACAAACACCCCCTCTGTTGTCATGGCTATTTGTGTAAACAAGTAATGAATGATTTTTTTTATCGATCATTCAACAGTATACAACTACAGTGAACATGGTGAAAATGGTCTTATCTGACACTTGAACAATCTGTTTGCAAATGCATGCAACCTCTATTTTTAGTCAAATTTGATTGTTTTCACTTAATTTCCATTTGTAATAGTCAGTTAAACAATTAGTTATGAGTTGTAAATAGTGATGCTATGCTCCTATATGTACTGATGCTAGCTATAGTAGGTTATTATTTAATAAGTTAACTTTGCTTTTAGCTAAGTCAGTCCTATGTTCATGCATTTTTACCCACAGTGTGGCACCACCTACCTAATAGGTCATACAATGTTAAATCTAACACCTTTTCTATTCGGACACAAATTAAATCTGTGTTCCAGTAAGATAGGTTTTATCACCATTAGGCAGATACCTCGGTTGGTAGCACACATAACTGGAGATTTAGCGGGGATCCAGGTTTAGGTCCGTTTTACTCTACTCCCTATATATATTTGGTGCTTCGACCAGGATGTGATCAATGAACAGTAATAAGACAGGAGAAAAAGGCTGCAGATCAAACCAGTATTTAAAAAAAGGCCCTCCTGAATCTCCATTCAGGTGATCTACCAACTAAGCCATCTGGCTACTGGCAATCAAACCTGTCATACCACCATATCCCCTCCTCCTCCTTAAAGGTCTACGGCACTAGGGGACACCAACCCAGGCTCTTCCCCTGCAGGCCTCTCATCAGACAGGTTTCACGGCAGGTTTCACTGTTACTGTTAAGCATGTGTGTTAAATGTAACAGATCTCTGGTGCCTCTAAATATTGTACATAGTTATCTGTCCAGTGGTGATCGAACCCATCTACTGTGAGCCCAGAATTACAAAAAGTACAGGGTTTTAAAAGAAGTAAAATAGTGTGTCTAAAAGTAAAAAAAAAGAAAAGTTTTGCAAAGATGGTTTTTAATTGACTTAAAATAAATTACAAAAGTGAAAATTAAGCATTTACCTTTCAAATTTTTGCATTAGGATAGCGCAAAATAGTCTTAATGTTAAGTTCCTAGTCCATTTTTCCAAATTGACAAGGGTATTCCCCTATCTCATACAAACTGACGAACTGCGTGGTTTTTCAAAGCGCAATGCTATTGCGTAACAATATACCCGTGCAAAAGATAAGGACGACGTAAATAGTCGAAAAAGGAAGTAAAGCACACCGCTTTGTCAGTTTTTAAGTTTAAGGATTAAGTTACCATGACCGTGTTGTTTTACTAAAAGTTGAACAGCAGAACAGGAGTTTTGCAAATTAAGTAACATGAGTAAAAAAGGCATGTCAGTAGAAATAAAGTTCTGCAAAATCATGGAAAACTGCAATACTTACGTAGATTGGAACACAGGTCGTGTGACAAGTCGTCGTTTATGTATAAAGTTTGAATTTAGTCAATGTTTATTTACGGATATTTCCTCATTCTTGTTTAGTATTAAAAGTACGAGGATTTCCGACTAGGCGATCTAGCATTCGGAACTTCTTTTGAACTTTCATGTTATTCTGAATTTGTACCTAGGCGTTTTGGGTCCCATCCTTTTCCCCTTCTAGATCAAAAATGTAATTGGAAAACCACAAGTGTTGTGCGTAAAAAGAATCTGAATATGCTTTTGTCATCTGTTCAGATTTAATCTTAATTAATTTTTCTGGAAAAAATATTAAAAAAAAATACAGATGTTGTCTAATGTTTGTTTTTTTCCCACTTAGTCCTGGTAGTCCTATGTACAATGTATTTTGCAACGCAGCTAACAGAAAAATATAAGTAATGTACGTCAGTATCACCTGTTGAATTTACACCTTTGGAAGATGTTCAGTATACTATGGGTTACAAAATACTAGTATTACAGATTCAAGTGCCTGTGGATCACTGGTACTTAACACACACACCCCCCCCACCCCCACCCCGGGTTCGATCCGTAACCCAAAGACTCTTGCCTTTTAAAATCTGTCATATTCCTTAAACAACAATTTTATAGCCAAATTGCCATTTTAGTGAATTATTTTGGTGCAAAATGTGGGCGGGAAACGAATAAAAGTTCGCGTTCGTATTTCTTTAGCTAGGAGTTTTCAGTCAAAATTCTTTGTGAATATATATGTCATACATATATGTAGCAGAGTCAGTGTTGATCGACTGCTACCCGGTTAATTCAAAATTTACAATATGGCATTCATCCAATTTACAATTTATTTACAAAGGTCCGAAGTATATATGATGACATCACCACACTACAAACGTAAGAAAAAACTTATATTTTATTTAGGTCCTTGGAAATGTAAGAAAAGAACCACACATTTGTTAAAGAAACCAATTTATCAAAAATTTGAGTCACTTTGCAGTAAAATAAATTTTAATGTTAGGACTAAGTTTGTGCTTTGAATCGTTTGATATTAAAACATAGGCCTAGGTAACTGACGAACTGCGTGGTTTTTCAAAGCGCAATGCTATTGCGTAACAATATACCCATGCAAATGATAAGAATGACTTAAATATGCGAAAAAGGAAGTAAAGCGCACCGCTTTGTCAGTTTTCGAATGTAAGGATTAAGTTTCCATGACCGTGTTGTTTTACTAAAAGTTGAACAGCAGAACAGGAGTTTTGCAAATTAAGTAACATGAGTAAAAAAAAGCATGTCAGTAGAAATAAAGTTTTGCAAAATCATGAAAAACTGCAATACTTACGTAGATTGGAACACAGGTCGTGTGACAAGTCGTCGTTTACATGTATTATAGTTTGTATTTAGTCAATGTTTATTTACGGACATTTCCTCATTCTTGTTATTAAAAGTACGAGGATTTCCGATTAGGCGATCTAGTATTCGGAACTTCTTTTGAGCTTTCATGTTATTCTGAATTTGTACCTAGGCCTTTTCGGTCCCATCCTTTTCCCCTTTAGATCAAAAATGTAATAGGAAAACCACAAGTGTTGTGTGCAAAAAGAATCTGAATATGCTTTTGTCATCTGTTCAGATTTAATCTTAATTAATTTTTCTGGAAAAAATATCAAAAAAAAAAAAATACAGATGTTGACTAATGTTTGTTTTTTTTTCCCACTTAGTCCTGATAGTCCTATGTACAATGTATTTTGCAACGCAGCTAACAGAAAAATATAAGTAATGTACGTCAGTATCATCTGTTGAATTTACACCTTTGGAAGATGTTCAGTATACTATGGGTTACAAAATACTAGTATTACAGATTCAAGTGCCTGTGGATCACTGGTACTTAACACCCCCCCCCCACCCACCCCCACCCCCACCCCCACCCCGGGTTCTTGATCCGTAACCCAAAGATCTCTTGCCTTTTAAAATCTGTCATATTCCTTAAACAACAATTTTATAGCCAAATTGCCATTTTAGTGAATTATTTTGGTGCAAAATGTGGGCGGGAAACGAATAAAAGTTCGCGTTCGTATTTCTTTAGCTAGGAGTTTTCAGTCAAAATTCTTTGTGAATATATATGTCATACATATATGTAGCAGAGTCAGTGTTGATCGACTGCTACCCGGTTAATTCAAAATTTACAATATGGCACTCATCCAATTTACAATTTATTTACAAAGGTCCGAAGTATATATGATGACATCACCACACTACAAACGTAAGAAAAAACTTATATTTTATTTTGGTCCTTGGAAATGTAAGAAAAGAACCACACATTTGTTAAAGATACAAATTTATCAAAAATTTGAGTCACTTTGCAGTAAAATGAATTTTAATATTAGGACTAAGTTTGTGCTTTGAATCGTTTGATATTAAAACATAGGCCTAGGTAATCAAAAATTACGAAACCCATCTCGACAAATGTTATCAGTTTTTAAAAGCAATGCGAATATCACATCATATTTTTTTATAGCCAGTATGCATCCTGAAAATAATATCCATGCAAGTTCTTATTAAATAGGTCTTTTAGTTCAATTAAGGTTGACCTGTACCAAAATCTCTAACCTGTTCACTAATCAAGAAAATGTCTTTCATTTCCTTCATCCAAAGCAAGTCTGCAATTGTGGACTCTTAGATGCATCACCCATGCAAGTAAAATCATAACAGGTCACACAACTACAGAGCTACTCCAAAAACATTAACCTGGTCACTCATCTGGAAAATGTAGGTCAGATCCAGCATCCGTATACGTAGCAAGTCTGGTAGTGTCCATTCTTAGATACATCATCCATGCAAGTTAGGTCCAGGTAGGGCTTATTGTTACTTAGAAATGGACTTGCCCCTAAAACCTTAACCTGGTCACTCATCTGAAAAATGTAGGTCAGATCCAGCATCAAAAGTAAGTCTGGTAGTGTGCATCCCCAGATGCACCATCCCTGCAAGTTTGGTCCAGGTAGAGCTTTTACTTACTTGAGAATGTGACAAGACCTAAACCTCGGTCGAGGTGAGCTACATGTAAAAAGCAAGCAGTCTGTGTACGAAATCTATTTATATGCAATATCAAAATTAGCAAATTGTTGGACAATGAAGTATCACATCAATAACTATTTGTTGGCAAAAAAGTTTAACCTCGCAATAACCTTTGATTTCCTTTAACTTTGGTTTTAATTTTTCACACGTTTTCCTTGTGATAAGACCTTTCTTGGGTACCACCAAATTTGATCTCTTGACCTTTGAATTGAATGAACCACCTTTACAAACTCAACCGTTTATCGCCAACAATATTCTCATAAATTTCACATTTACTGCATGTTAGATAGAAGATTAGAAATGATTTGAAAATCAATATATCAGGGAAAATATTGTAAAAAGTATCACCGTTCCTTGTTTGCCTCTACATTTTGGATCTCTTTCAATGTTTCCGATATCCTGATATGGATACCAATTCAAAAATTCTACCTTTAAATCAATGCAGAAGACGTTATTCTAGACTGCAATATGTTTAATGCATGTCTTTAAATGCAAGGAAACAAACACCTTTTGTATTACTTTAAATCCACTGGGGCATGTGGAGGATAAAAGCTTTTGTGTTCCAAACTGAAATTTCAAACCGACTGCGTGAAAACATGGCGTAGATGTAAGTTTTTACTTCAGAAATAACGATATTGAAACCTTGAATTTATCAATTTGGTTTGCATTTTAATATCATCAGAAAAGATTTTTAAAGACTTTTATAACATTATTTTATTATACAGGAAACAAATTTTTGATCTGAGAAAAAAAAGTAGGAGTTGGAAAGCCACGTGCACACAAAAATAAATATTTGTCGACAAAACCCCAGTAGAAATCAAAAGAACAAGGGTCTAAAGATAAATTATTTCAAATATGGAGAAGAAAGGCAATATCGATGAACTTGGGAAATCATTTTCTAGAAGTTCTGTGGCTAATAATGACAGCTCAGATTCGACAAAAACAGACGTTGAGTGTGGGAAATTTTCCTCAGAAAAGTATTTAAACTTAAACTTGATACTTCTGCATTTCAAATCTGCTCTTATAACATGTTTATATCTGCGTTATCAATCGTCAACATATTCCTTTGGATTCTATCGTTGATTCATTTTTCTTCCAGGTTCACAGTCATTGATGCAACAGATGAATATGACGACAATCTACAAAATCTGTCCAGGTATGATATCAAAAGTTTAAACAAGAGGCCCAGGGGCAACAGCGCTCACCTGAGCACATCGGTTAGGAAAAAGCACATATCAAATTAAAACTGAAAGTTTACTGGGGGGGGGGGGGCTTGAATTTTAACCACCCAGGGGATCATGATTTAAACAAACAAAGAAGATTTTAAAAGGATTAACTTTAAATTCCTATGTAAAACTTTGATCGGCCATTTTGGCCCCACCTTAGCCCCGGGGGTCATGATTTGAACAAATTTGAATATACACTACCTGAGGATAATTTCACATGATTTTCATCTTTCCTTCTCAACGGTTCTTGAGAAGAAAATTTTTAAAGATTCTTCCTATTATAATATATTCCTACGTAAATCTACGATCAGCCATTTTGGCTCCACCCTAGCCCCGGGGGTCATGATTTGAACAAACTTGAATCTACACTATCTCACTATCTGAGGATGATTCCACATGAGTTTCATTTTTGCTGGGCCAGTGGTTCTTGAGAAGATTTTTAAAGATTGTTCCTATATACTCCTATGTAAAACTTTGATCGGGCATTTTGGCCCCACCCTAGCCCCGGGGGTCATGATTTGAACAAACTTTAATCTATACTATCTGAGGATGATTCCACATGAGTTTCATTTTTCCTGGCCCAGTGGTTCTTGAGAAGAAGATTTTTAAAGATTTTCCCTATATACTCCTATGTAAAACTTTGATCGGGCATTTTGGCCCCACCCTAGCCCCGGGGGTCATGATTGGAACAAACTTGAATCTACACTATCTGAGGATGATTCCACATGAGTTTCATCTTTCCTGGCCCAGTGGTTCTTGAGAAGAAGATTTTTTAAAAATGCCATTAATTTTTCTCTAATTCATAATTACTGGTATCTCCCCATGGAAAATGGCGTGGCCCTTCATTTGAACAAACTTGAATCCCCTTTACCCAAGGATACTTTGTAGGAAGTTTGGTTGAAATTGGCCCAGTGGTTCTTGAGAAGAAGATGAAAATGTGAAAAGTTTACAACGACGATGACAACGACAGACAACGGACAAATTTTGATCAGAAAAGCTTACTTGAGCTTTCGTCTCAGGTGAGCTAAAAAGTGTATTTTTAAATTACTAATTTCAATAAAGTGTGAAATATCATAAGAATTCTTTTTTTTTTATTTTTTAATATTAATGTTAATATTTTCCGTGAGTAAGGTATCCAATTTGCCTATTAAGGACAGATGAGGCGTTCCTCAATAACATATAATTTTTTCCAAGATTTTGTCATTGAAGAATACTCGTAAATACTACTCACAAAAATTCGAAGTACCTTACCAGGCCTTTTTGCGAGAAACCAGAGGATGACATTTCTTATGTACACATGTAATCCTTTTAATTAGGAAAAAAAAATTAGTTTGCCAAAATCAAATTTTTAGTGTTTCAAATTTAAAAAAAACAATTAGAAACCGGTTTAGAAATTTACAAAAAATAATTAAAATGTTTACAATGTATATTTTCCATATATTATGAAGATATACTAAACAGATATTTGGGGAACGTATCGTCTGACCAAGTTAATCACAATTCATTATCTGAATTCATATTTCTTTTTGCATAGCATATGGCGGTTAGAAGTGGTGATTTTACTGTGGATGGCGACATATCTTTTCAAAAGATAAAACTTGACGAAGAAAACATTGAAAAAGAGTTAGGCAAGGTATTTAAAGGTCCTAAAAATTCAAAAGAAATAGGCAACACTGTATCTGAATTACATAAGTGTGTAGAAGAAAAAAGTACAGGAAGATATCTTTTCCAAACTAGCGAAGGTATGCCAATGCTCCAAGAGAATCGCAGAGAATGTTCAGGTAGCCGAATCGGTGGCTAAAACCCTTGGAACAATAAAAGTTGTCGGAGATAAGATGAGAGTGAATGCTCAAAAAATCCAAGAAGATGAAACATATGCACCCTTCGAGCGATTTCAAGATTCCGAGATTACGTCAGAAGCATGTGGACTTGAAGATCTGTTTTACACGACACACGCGTACTTAAAGGGAATTCATAACGAGGCAAATGACGAAGATATAAAGACTCTTTAGGAAAGAGTTCCGATTTACAAAGGAGTAGAATTTCTGGGAAAACTGAAGGCGAAGATAGAAATTCTTATGACAAAACCAGACATAAAGTCTGTTAGTTGTGCTGTCGCATATATAGATCTC